TGCCCCAGTGCACTGATGGAAACAATAGAGCAATCAACCAGCAAGTAATGGAGTCTGACAGCTGGGAGTGAAACCAACAGAGGTAGAGAGCTTAACAGAGAAACAAGGGAAAGAGACAAAGAGAGTCCTGATAAAACCACTGTCATCCATGGATGACTCTGGGTTTATCAAGGCTGCATCCTCCAAGCAGTGACATCACGTGTTGTACACTGTGGGAGAAAGTAGATTATGTTAAAATAGTTCAACCAAGTCATTAAAACATTAAAAATCAAACAACAAATCCTGGGGCTGGGGGTAAGAAATCAAGATCCAGAGTTGCTACAACACATTGTCCAAACTATCTAGTAAAACCAAAACCAAAACCAAAACCAAAACAAAAACAAAAAAAACTGGGTAGGAATTTATGAGACACGCAAAGAAGCAAGAAAGTGTAACCCATACACAAGAAATAAATGTAGTCAACAAAATGCCTTGAGAGAGCTCAGATTTTAGAGTTAGCAAACATAATTTAAGCAGTAATAATATGTTCAAAGACCTACAGAAAACCATGCTTAAGGATATTAAGGTAGGTATAATGACAATGTCTCAATAAATAGAGAATATCAACAAATAGATACAAACTATGAATTGAACTGAATAAATATTAGAGAGAAGAAAGAATCAGCAAACTTAAAGATGATCAGTAGAGATTATACAGTCTGAAAAAGAGAGAAAACAGAAATAATGGTTGAAAACTCCCTAAATTTGATGAGAAATATTAATCTACATATTCAAGAAACTCAACAAATTCTAAGTAGAATAAGCCCAAGGATATCTGCATCCAGACATATCATAGTTAAAGGGTTAAATGCCAAAAACAAAAGTAAATTTTAGAAATAACAAGATAAACATGATTTGTCACATATAAAGGAACCTCAGTAAGATTAACAGCTGATTTCTCAGACACATTGTAATCCAGAAGGCAGTAGGAGGACATATTCAAAGTACTGAAAGAAAAAAATATATATATTTGCATATGTATATAATTGTATTTTTGAGCCTATAACATTTAGAAATGTAATATATTTGGCAATAAGAGCATAAAGGAGGCAGGTGGGAGCAAACCTATATTATGGTAAGGAAATGATACCAGGTGGTGACTCAAATCCATAGGAATAAATGAATAGAAGAATCAGAAATGATAAATAAGAAGGTTAATATAACAAACCCTATAGATACATATTTTCTCTTCCTTCTCTCAGCTCCTTTAAAAAATACAAAATTAAACAAGGTAATATAACACTGTATTTTGGGGTTTGTAACACATATAGATATAACAACAGCACAAATTGGGAGGGGGTGGAAGAAGGAATAGAACTATATAGGAATAACCTTTTTATCTCTAGCTGGACTTAAATAGTATAAATCTGAAGTATATTTTGAAAAGTTAGGAACTATATGGAAAGCCCTAGAGCAACTCCCAAGAAGATACCTTTAAAAATATGGAAAAATCATAAAAATAATTTAAAAATACTAAAAAATATCTGCTTACTGCAAAAGAAAGCAGTAGAGGAATAGAGGAACAACAACAACAAAAAACCAGGAAGTAAAATGAGAGATAAAAATCCAACTGTATCAATAATAACATTGAATATGATTAGATTAAAATACAATAAAAAGGCAGACACTGCCATATTAAAAATAAGGATTCAACTATATATTATCTATAGGAGACATACTTTAGATTTAAATACACAAACAAGTTGAAAGTAAAAGAATGAAAAAAGATATACTATGCAAACAATTATAAACAACAAAGAATAGAAGACTTGAACAACTATAAAACAACACGACCAAACAGACATCTATAGAATGTTCCTTGCACAATAGCAAAATACACTTATTTCTCAAGAGCAAATGGAACAGTCTCCAGGATAAAGTATATATTAGGCCATAAAACAAGCTTTAATAAGTTTGGAATTATAGAAATCATACAATGTATGTTCTCCAAACATAATGAAATTAGAAATCGATAAGAGAAAAAATAATGGGAAATTAACAAATATGTAAAAATTAAATAACACACCTATAAACAACCAAGAAATTACAAGGAAAATTAGCCAATGCTTTGAGATGAATGAAAATGAAGAAACAGCATACTAAAACTCATGGGATGCAAGTAAAATAGTACCCAGAAGAAACCTTATAGTTGTAATGCCTATATTTAAAAATATGGTCTAATAACCTAATTTTATACTTTAAGACACTGGAAAAAGAGCAAAGTAAACCTAAAACAAACAGAAGGAAGAAAATAATAAAGATTAAAGCAGAAATTAATGAAATAGAGAGTAGAAACCTGTGTCCATCCTCTGATGAGTGGATAAATTGTGGTATAGCTGTACAGTGGAATATTATTTGGATTAAAAAAGGAATGCAGAATTGTTACAGGTGACAGCATGGCTAAACCTTGAAAACCCTATGGTAAGTGGAAGATGACATGTACAAAAGACCACACACATATTGTATGATTCCACTTATATGAAGTATCTAGAATAGGCAAATCCATAGAAACAAAGAATATTAGTGATTGTGTAGGACTAGAGGTGTTTGGAAGACATGAGGAGTAACTGCTAATGGGAATGGGTTTCTTCTTTGGAGTGATCAAATATCCTAAAATTGATTATGGCAATGGTTGTACAACTCTGTGAAAATACTAAAAACTACTGAATTATATATTCATATGGGTAAATTTTGTGGTGTATGAATTACATCTCAATGAAACTTCTAAAAATGTGACTCTAAAATTTACTCTTTTGAATGTTCAGTGAAGCTTCTCTTTGCAACTAATGACAAGTCTTGGGAATATATATTGAGAATAGCTAAAAAGCTTTATTTAAAGCCATGTTTTTCCTTTAGAGTTTTTACTAGCACTCTCCTTCCATGATGTCAAGAGACTTTCCCTTTGAGAGTTATATATTCTTTAACAATAGTCCAGAAGTGGAAGAAGCAACATTTTTCAACAAAAATTCTTAACTACTACCATACTCTACTATGCATTTGAATTTAGAATGTTCCAACATGGACCCCAATAGCACTTTTTCTAATACCTTGTGTATTCATTTTCTGTTACTGTTGTAACAAATTACCAGCAACCAAGTGGCTTCAGCAACTCATTTGTCATTCTTGTAGTTCTGTAGTTTAGAAATTCCATGCAGACATCTCTGGATTGAAATTAAGTTGTCTCCAAGGCAGCATTTCTTCTGAAGACTCTGGGAGAGAATCTGTTCCCTTGCCTTTTCCAGTTTCTAGAGGCTTTCTGTATTCCATAGTTCATATCCTCCTTCCTCCATCTTCAAAATCAGCAATCAAAGTCAAGTCCTCCTGACACTGCATCACTTGACATAGCTTCCACTGTCACATCTCTTTCCTGGCTCTCTTCCTCTGCATCTCTCTTCCATTTGTAAAGACCTTTTTGATTACCTTGGGCCCACCTGGATAATTCAGAACAAACAATCTGCCAATTTTAAGGTCAGGTGATTATGTCTTAATTCCACCTGCAGCCTTAAATCTTCTTTCCCATATAACCTAATACATACTTAGGTTCCAGGGATTAGGACATGGACATCCTTAGGAGGCCATTATTCTGCCTACTACATCATGATTTTCTCCTGGTAGAAATGTGTATAAATTAAAGTAATGGATAAAGCCCTATGGGTTTGGGGTAGTTTGGTTAATCAATAAAGGAGGATTTCTCTTTTGGCCAGTGTGTTATAGTAAATTCTGGCATGAGTGAAGGGTAGGCCTTTATCTTATAAAGTGGAGAGAAGACTATTGTGAACTCAAGCCTGTTCTTAGGCTAACCAATTTTAGGGGAAAAATAAATGTGGAAATTGAGGATCTGGAATAGGATTCATTGGTTTCAAATTATTGGGATGGCACACCTAAAGATTTCCTATAACCCAGGACCCTAGTTGAATGATAATTCATTTGGAATAGTGGTTTCCAAATGGGGCTGATTTCATAATTACCTGAGACTTTTAAAAAATGGAATTAGATTTTCAGGGTTTAATCTAGATCTGCTAAATCAGAAGTTCAGAAATCAGAGACCCAAAAGATGTTTTGAATTTCTTTTTTTTTTTTTAAGATTTTATTTATTTATTTGAGAAAGAGTAAGAGCACAAGGTGGGGGGTAGGGGCGGGGGGGGTAGGGGCAGAGAGAGAGGGAGAAGAGAAGAAAGGGAGAAGCTCCCTCAGCAGGGAGCCCAACACAGGGCTCGATCCCAGGACTTGGGGATCAAGACCTGAGCTGGAGGCAGATGCTTAACTTACTGAGCCACCAGGTGCCCCTGTTTTGAATCATTTCTTTAGTTGATTCTGATAATTAGCCAAATTTGATAACTACTCACTTAGAAAACAAAGGGGATTGAATTAGTGATAATAGAGGATTCATGTGTTAACTAACTTTTTCTATTAATTGCTTGGTAGTTTTGAAAGTTACAGGACATTTAAATGTGACCTGGAACTTTGGACAGTCTGACCAATGTGCAGCCAAAACAGAAAACTGAAAGTATCATTCTTTCTCACTTCCAAGTAATCATGCAGCCACAGAAAACTAGAACCATTGGATTTTTTCCTCTTTTGGCATATATACTCTGCCATTATAAGCTATGCCTTATTTGAATTTGTCTTTGTTAATTTATTATAAATTGATTAAGTTATTCTTATTCCACAGATACAATCAATGTAAGAATACAGTAATACTTACGGTCACTTCGCATTTATACCTAAATTGTGATATACCAAGTCATGGTCATAATTCCTATAAAATCTATGAATTAGCATATTTTCTGCACCTTACAGACAAAATGTTGATATTTTTTACTAGTTTAAATAACCTTTCCAGAAATAAGATGAGACACCTTTTAATAAAATATGCAGTAAATTAGGAGGACACTGTTGATCATTGAACATGCACATAATATATATCTTAAAAAGACTGAAATTTTGCATTTCCTCTGTAGATATCACACCACAGAAAGAAACTCAGGAAGGAATTCCACCCCTGACCCAGAGTCAGGAACCCCTGAAACCTCAGGAGAATATATCACGACCCATTCACCATCCTTTAGTTTTAAAAACTAACTTTGAGGAAGAAGAGGAGGAAGGAGATGAACAAAATGGTTAGTAAGGCTTTTCTCAGATTTACAATGCACCTTCAAAAACTGTACCTTTTTTTTTTTTACATATTTTTTAACTGTGAGAGGTTTATAAGGTAATATGTTATGTTTAGGCAGATTTCAGTAAGAAAATAGCTTGAATTTTTTTAATATATTCAATTCATTATGTTCTAATTTGTTCTATGTCTATACATGCTTATGATCATTTGGATTGGAGGGTTTTTGTTGTATGATGGCTGGGAGATAGATCTCATTTAAATATGTACAGTTGCTTAAACTGATTTTTCTAATATGTGAAATATAGCAATTTGAGACATTTATCATTATGCAAATTATTGATTTTAAAAATAAAAAAAATCCATGAGAACAATGTCTGGGATTTTTCATTCTGATTTATTATGTATTTTCATATTATTTGACTTCCGACAATTTAATTAAAAAAAAATATCCTATAGATGCTTCTAGTTTATGGACAAAGACTCCTGAAGAAATTGAAGAAAAAAGAGCAATAAAGGAGATGTGTTATAAATCTGGTAAGAAATCATACATCTGTGGATTTTCTAATGCTTGATGTGACAAATATACTAACCCCTACTTTTCTAATGGGAGATTAGGTGAATACTACAGATTTCATACTCCTCCAGATATTTCATCATCAAAAAGCATAGCCTCTACAGCAGACAAAGAGTTAGAAAAGCCTTTGGAAAGTGGCAGTGAATTGCAAGAAGGTAAGGAATGAAAAGGCAGCATTTCAAGGTGATGTATAAGAGATACTTGATGTGATAGGCTGTGAATTATTTAGTAAGATTTACACTAGAGTTAAATGATAAATAATACATCAGAATTGAGAGTGAGGAGGAAGTGCTTTTATCAGATGACCTATATTTAATATGAAAAGCTGCTATTAATGTAATTATGCTTTCCCAGCGGAGCTACAGACTGAATAGGCTTCATAAGCGCGTGGCGGCACGGCTCCCCCGATGCAGTAATTCTGTAAATAACTTGCTTTTACCATTCATTTTTCTTTGCAAAGAAATCTCCCTGTGAAATAGGTGCATATTTTTCTCTGTGAGCAGAAAGAACAACCTAGCCCTAGAAGGACAAAAGGGAGATGACAGAATGACGTTAGTGGCAGAGCAAGGATACATTTGTTCATTGAATGAGTGCCTTTTGTGTACCAGGCAATTTCAGAAGCAGTGCAGGTGGATTATTCCAAGGCTGGGCCTTTCACGAATCTTATGTTTTGGTGAATCTTATTTTAATGTTGGTAAACATTTTGCCCTTGAAGGCAAGATAAGAACATTATTTTCTGGATATAAAACCAGAAACTCAGAGAAAATCCATGGATGCCATGAGTTTATATAGTTGTCTTGCCACTAGGATGAGATGAAAAGTTTTGCTGCAGTAGAAGATTTGAATCCTTTCCTCTCCCTAAAAATAAAAAATGATAGTTGGGAAAATCTCCCAACATCGAGATGAGGGTAGGATAAAGTAGAGGATCGAGAGTAAAATACTTGCTGTTCAAGTACATACGTGGCAAACTATTTAAACATATGGCGGTAGGTGGCAGCAACATACCATTAGATGTTAGAATGATTGTCAAGACAGCTGATAGGTGGGCACCCCATCTAGAGAAGGGCACATTGCCCGCATTACCTAGACAAGGAGAAAAGAAAACAAGTTAGCAATGAATATAAAAAGGGTAGATTAGAAAGATAATTACACGTACTTTCACTTTATATTATGGTTTCAAAAGCCTTTTATTTTTAAATAATTTCAGGTAATTCATGAATAGCCTTCACCAGATTTCCCCAGATGTTAGTATTTTACACATTTGATTTTTCACTCTTTCTTTCTCTAAATATACACATTGTGATTTTTTTCTAAACCATTTGTGCAAGAGTAAGTTGCAGATATGATGCCCCTATATAACTCTTACATAACTTTGGTATAAATATCAAAATCAGGAAATTACCACTGATACCATATCATTTACAGAATTTTTAAAATGAATTTCACCAGCTGTACCATCAAAGTCCTTTATAGCCAAATGAACTTTTTTCCTGATTTAGAATCCAATCCAGAATCATATGGTGCATAAGATTATCATGTCTCTCTTATTCTGCTTTTAATAGTTTATTCTAGAGATGTATAAGAAAAGTGCTAAGAATTATTTATCACAGTATAATTACCATTTGTCAGTGGTAGACTCTAATACTTTTCACTCAGTTTGTTCATGATAAGTAGATATAATCAAAAGAAATATTACAAAATTCATTATATGAAGAACACATCAAATAAGTTAAGTATACATACAAAATAATGTTAGATTGTTTAAATTTTTAAATTGCCGTTTAATAAATAATCCACATAGGAAAACAAACCTGCTTGTTATTTTCTTGATAATCATAAAATTTGTTTAAAATTCATATATTTATAAATTTATTGTTTATCATATCACTATGCAAACAATACTTGCATTAACTTTTAGACTTTTTACTATCATTATGAATTCTACTGTAGACTTAATGTAAGTGCCTATGGTTCCTGGGGTGATTTTTTTTTTCTTTTTCCTTTTTTAATTTTTTCTTAATTTTTTAGGGGATGGTCTTACAGTTCCAACAAAATTTAGCCTATTTGAAAGGCAAAGTGAGATAAAAGCATCATTGGATAGGAAACCAAGGACTGACATTGCTGCTTTTGAAAATGGAGGTGAGTTATTACTAGTTGATTCTGAATATATTACCATATAATAAATGAGTCCGAATTTCCTCTCTCATAACTAATTTCGTTTTTTCAAAATCTTCTTGAGATTTTTATTGTTGGCTTTGGGTAAGGAACTTGAGGCCTGGAATTGTATATAATCAGTTGCTGTAGATGAATCCCTATAGGAGAATGTCTAACACAAGACGTGCACTCTGTGAATATTTGTAGAATAAATGATTTTATGTTTAAACAATTGAATGGATGAATGGAGACATGTTTATAGAATTTACAGATGACTGGAAGTTAATATGCTGGATCAAGGAGCCAAATTTAACAAGGTAAACTCAAACTGTGATACACAAAAATTCTTGCATTTAAATTCAAGACATTAATGGTAGATTTTCTTCAAGTTGGGAAAGACTTGACATGATACCAATTGCAAAGAAAAAAATAAGTGTTTTTTGTTGGCCACAAGGTTTAAATATGATTCAGTAATGGGTGTCAAGTACCAAATAGCTCAGGTAAACTCACATTGAATTATTAGGAGTAGCATAGGAAGATAATTAAATGTGGTAAGTCATTTAAAGTACTCAGTAGTGTCTGCCACATAGAAAAATGCTCTACAAATATCAACTATTATTACAGTAGCTCCACTGATTTCTGTAATGGTAGTCCACATGGGTGTGTCATTTTAAAAGAAGGTTACTTGAAACAAATATTTTACGTTATGAAAGGGTAGCTTGTATAGTGAAGAATCTGGAAATTAAGTATATAAGTAATATTTAAAGCAATTATGGATATTTATCTTGGAAAATAGAAGAGCTCTAAGGAGCATAAAAATTGCTCTCATATATCTGAAGATGTTATATTGAAGATAAATTATATTTACTCTGAGTAACTCTAAAGGATGGTAAAGGATAGAAGTAAAGATTTACATACGTTAAAGGAAAATTAATTGTGTTGATTATGTGAGTTTTTTTGCAATTATCTCTATGCAAGTGTACATACTATATATTCATGTACATATATTTACATGTATTAATCTAAACATACGTGATATGTGTAGAGATGTGGGTGATTATCACTGAGAAGTGTTTAAATAAAACTGGGGAAAGGGTATACTGTAGAAAAGGATAATCTTGTGTTGGAAGATAGTTTTGTACAACGTTCTGCCACCATGGCCACTGACCGTAAGGTATTGTCATAGGAGGTGACTGTTATGTTCCACAGAGGATCATATTTCTTGGAGTAGATGAAAATGAAGCTTTAAAAGAAGAGAAGGAAATCACCATGTCAAAATGTTCAAATAGTAAAGGTAATGAACCAGCCTATAATTTTAATCCATTCATAATTTGGGTAGATGTGTTAAATACAAAACTTGACACTTGTAGAGACCAATAGAAGAGGCGTAAATAGTAAATAAAAATATACATTAAATACAGTGAATAGGAGTCAGAAACTCTAAGGTTTCAGTCCTGGCCTGTCCCTCATTGTTTGACCATGACACCATCTCTTTTAGTTTCAGTTTCCTTATCTAAAATATTGGCCTGTTGGACTACGTAATTTCTAGGAGTCTTGCTAGCTCTACTGTTGTTGGTTCTGTTAAATAGTAAAACCAAGTCCTTCAGTTTCTTTTTCCAACTTCAAATAGTGTGATTGAATTTTCTTAGAAAGCTTTGTTTGTGAACACTGTGAAGAGTATTAATCTCATGACATCTATGACCTCCTCATTTTATGATTATTACTAGTCTGTGAATAATCAAGAGATATGATAATAAAATTCATCCTTTATAGTTTTATATTCCCCTTACACCATGCGTAGAATCCCCCACGTGGTACCTCTCTGCTAGGCAGGCTCTTTCAGTCACAGACTAAAGGTATAGCTGTCCTGTAATTAGAGGGCTTTACGTATTCTCTATCCAAATATTAACTAATTTCATCTACTGTTCCCCCCCCATTAAATAAATGTTCTCAAGAATAGGTTAAGGCACTTAAGATCAATGGGAAATGGCATGGAAGTCTCTTTTCCCCTCTATCAAAAAAACCCCAAAAAACAAAAAACAAAAGAATTCTAACTACACTAATAACAGTTGCTACAATTCGCATTTGGCTGTTTAAATTTAAACTAAAATGAAATAAAGCTAAAAAAATTTAGCTCTTCACTTGCATTAGCCATGTTTCAAGTGCTCAATACCTACATGTGACTAGTGGCTATCATTTCCTACAGTACAAGCTGAGACTATTTCCATCATTGTATAAAGCTCTTTGGGGCAGTCCTGCTCCAAAGCATAGAACACATGAAAGTTATTACATTTAAATTATTTCTGGAAACTTAATTTAAATAAGCACACTTGATTTAAAATTAATAAACTTCTGATTCTTTTATATGACGGTATTAAAAATATTGCCACAAATACATAATTTGTATATTGAAGATAATATCTGTACATTGGATTTTTAATGTTTTGTTAGTGACAAATTTTGGGGACTCATTGTAGTGATTAGGGAATTTCGGTGATGAATTATAAAAATTAATATACATATATATATTTTAAAGAGGTATGCCCATCATATAATGTTTGAAAAGTGAAATACCAACTGAAAGCTTCTTTTACTAATATTGACATTTTATTTTCTTAATTTGCTTTAAAAGATAACAAGGACAGTCCTCATCCAAAGCGTTCCCTAACTACCCGACTAGTACCTACAACGCATGTATTAAATGCTACTGAGAATATCAGTATGAAGTGCAGAGAGGACCCCTCTTCAAGTGAGACATCAGCTCTATCACTTTTTGGCCTTAGATATATTTGTCTTATCGTGGATTTGTTTTGCTTATTTGAAATAGAATTTTTAAAAAGAAAAAAAAAAGATGGTTTGAAAATTATTCAGGATTAAGAATTAAAAACAATATTCTTCTACTAACTCTGACAAAGAATTGTGATGTAGGTCCTAGTAAATTATATACGTTCCCACTAGTTTAATTTAGGTATTAAAATTAATGATATACTACCTTCTCGGAAGGTTCATTAGTATAGCATTTTAAATTTAACCTATAGTGAGATACATTGACAGGTTTTTACTATGTTTTGGATTATTTTTCATGATTTGGCTTTTCCAGGCCATTCAGTATTCTGAGCTACTTCTCTTACACAATTAAGACTCATGAATCTTCCTTTCTGTTTCCTTCCTTCCTTCTTTCCCTTATTTCATTTCCTGAGGCCCTATAATGTTCTTGGATCCCAGCCAGGCATTGAAGGAAACCATGATGGTTTACTCCTAAGCAGCTCAGTTTAGTGACATTTGTTAAAAATATGGTTTCCAAATCCTAGGAGTGGGGGCTTGAGAGTAAGGGTAGAGCATGATGTTTGGAGAGGAGGTGGTGAATCAGAATTCAAACTTCACGCTTAAGCTGAACTTGAGAGCTAGGGCAAAGACAGATTTATTAGTCCACTAGAGAGAGCTAATGTAATCTACATAGTGAACTTGTTCATTTTCTCTGTGCAGTAGTTACGTGTCAATGTTCAGGATCTCCACACGTGAGAAATAACAAAGAATTCCCCTGTCTACTAAATTGTTTTAAGATTCTCTGGAGAAATGTCCCTTAGAAATTCCTAGAAAACTGAGCTTGTATATAAATTTTTCAATGTAAAAATATGACAGTAAAAAGTAAATTTAGTGATCTTAGCACTTAGAAATTCTGACTACTTAGTCTTGTTTCTCCAAACTAACTACACACCCAAACTCTTAAAACTTAAAAGAATAAAGTAATATTCACTAAAAGTATTTTATATTAATCTAATTTCTTAAGAAGTAGATTTATGTTCAAAATAACAATTCTAAAACTACTTAAAAATAACATAATGAGATATATAGTTATATTTGGAATGTAATTTTATAGTCTTTTAAACAATTTACACATTCCTTTGGGGAAGAGCATTTCTTCCCTGAGGAATGCTATATATTGAAAATTTTCTCATCAACCAGTTTCCAGGATAGTTTTTTTTGGGGGGGGCAGGGGGTACTTTAAGAAATAAGTCACCCTTTCTTCTAGAAAGTAAAGTATTAGAGTAGTGCATTTATTTTTTTCTCTTGCTTGACATGTGAATGCACAGATATGTAATTATCACCTACAGTAATTTTCAGATGAAAGCATCTCTTAAAAAACTGTAAAAATTTGTATCTTCTTCAAGTGAATGATGTCCAGCCAGTGAGGAAGCCTCACTTTAAAGGTGTGAAAAAAAGAAAATGGATTTATGATGAACCAAAGAATTTTCCTGGCCCAGGAATGCGGAGAGGTAAAGTATCTTCATATTTGATATTTCTAAATTATAATTTGAAACAGAATGAAGAAATCAAATATAAATTAGTATTTCCTATCTGAAAAGCAAATTGCTGTTGTGTAACATCCTATTTTAGATGTCAACCCAACTCCTATAAATTTAGTTCTTTTTGCACACATTGCCTTCCATAGCGCTATCAAACATTTAACCTGCAGTATGTTATTTATGGGTATGATACCAGTTTGTTTTATCCCTCACTCCCTTCCCCCTTTCCTTTACAGCAGTACAGGCCCCAAATCCCAAAAATAAAATGACTTACCATCGCAATAATAAAAACAGAAATGCTGAGAACACATCCTATATCCACGTTCAGAGAGATGCAATCAGGACTGTCTCACGGAGTGCACCCCCCCGCAGCAGGCCCACAAATGGGTCCTACAATAAAGTCGATGTTAACAAGGAACCCAAATTCAGCCTCTGTCCAGGTAAAGCTCTTTTGGTATGTGATTTACTCATGTCCATGGTTTGCATCCCCATGGAATTACGTGATGGTCCAACTAATCTTCATCGCCACCCGCCCCCCTTTTCTGTTTCCAGGCCATCACCACACCAGGACATCTTAGAAAACTGGTGAGAGGATTTCTCCCATGAGCAGGAATGCACATGGTTTAAAGGATATGTTAGAAAATGTGTTGGGTACAGACGATTAGACATTGAACCTCACTAGAGTTTTGTCTCATAGCACTGCATTTTGTTCCCCCCTGGATAGCTTTATTTCACTCTTGAGGATTGTTTTCAAATGGTTGACATTTTCTTCTTCCAATAACTGCATTGTTCAATCATCACTTTCAGGCTAGTGCCTTGGCTTTTCTTTAAGTCTTCATGATTACTTTCTGAAAGGGTTAGTTTGGGGGTTAACTACAATATTTTTGGCAACCTCTCATCTCCCACCATGCACAGATTGCTCCTAAATCATTTCATCATGTAATAGGCCAAGTCAGAGTATATGTACAAGGCCACCACGGAGGAGGGAACTACATCTTTTCTTCCTGTCTTGGATGAATTTTGTTTTTTTGAAGTTGGGTTTCAGCTCTCTCAACTTAACACGAGGCAACTTAATTCCCTCTAATTTCATGCGTGTATTTTCTTGTGTTCCCAGTCTAGTTAGTGGGGTTCTGAATATTCTGCACTTTCTGAAACACAAGTAAAAATTCAATGTCTCTCTTAGGTCCTTTCTTTTATAATTTAAATAGAAGTTAGCTTTCTTTAAATTGTATTTCTTCTATTTATTTTAGAATAAAATGATATATGGGTTTATATACAAAAATAAGGATATTCTTGGGTGAAACCGTCTTATTTATTATTATTATCATTTTATTATCATTTTACTGGGAGTGAATGGTTGTCTGGATTTGTGCTAAGGTTGTCACAGTTACGCTCACTATTGCTTTTGCACCATTAGTGCAAATGTTAACGAGGAAAAAAAGCAAATAAATTCTTAGTGTTATTATGAGCCATGCTTTGAGAACCGTAGCTGCATAGTAATACTTAAAAACACAAATACTGGGCGCCTGGGTGGCTCAGATGGTTAAGCGTCTGCCTTCGGCTCAGGTCATGATCTCAGGGTCCTGGGATCGAGTCCTGCATCATCGAGTCCCGCCTGCTTCTCCCTCTGCCTTTCTCTCTCGCTCTGTCTCTCATGAATAAAAAAAAAAAAAAAAATCTTTAAAAAAATCTTAAAAAAAAAAAAACACAAATACAACATTGTTAGGTAATAGTTCAAATATAAAGTTGTCAGAGGAAAGTAGATATTAAAGAACCAAGTCAGTATATCAAGGCTTTGCTTTCCTGGGACAGAACGTTCACTATGGTCGAGTATTCCCTGCCATCATGGGAGTCACCTCACGGAAGGTAAAGGGAATTGGCGGTGCCTTCTAGGTCTTCTCTTCTTTTTCTTTCTTTCTTCTACAAGCATTAGCAGAATTGGATTGTAAAGCAAGGCAGTGAAGTATTTTGATCACATCCAGATATCATACTCTCCTGTAGCTTAGCCTCATGGGAGAGAGCCTTATTTGAAGAACTGGACAGCCAGTTAAGAGGTGCATAACCATCCATGTTCACTGATAACATAAATGGTCTTTTTTTTTTTTAAGATTTTATTTCTTTGAGAGAGAGTACAAGCAGGTGGGAGGGACAGAGGTAGAGGGAGACAAGCAGACTCCCCGCTGAGCAGGGAGCTTGACACAGGGCTCCATCCCAGGACCCTGAGGTCATGACCTGAGCTCAAGGCAGATGCTTACCCAACTGAGCCACCCAGGCACCCCATCATAAATGGTCTTAATAAACTCACTTGGGTCCCTGATGCCTTAGTTTTGAAATGCTAAAATAAATTATTTAGAAGAACAGCTTCATCTCTGAGATATTTATAACTTTAAGACACTCTTGGAATATGATTTTGAAGTTATAAAATATTTAATTCCTGTCTTCTTTTTTCTCAGATAAATATATGTCAACATCATATAATGGTTCAGCCTGGCGAAAAAGAATTCCTTTTTCAAAAACATATTCAAAAACTGAAAAGATATATACAGGTAAAAATTTACTAGTAATTTTAATGTATCATTCTAAAAACAAATGACAAGTTTTTAAGTTTCAAGGTCAGGAAACACATTTTAGAAAAATTTAGGAAATTTTCATGCTTTATGAATACAATTACTTGGAGTTCAGTAGATATCTTGTCTACTAGCAATTTAATTTTACTTTGTTTTATTGTGCTCTCCTTTGCCTATTTTTATGTCATCAAAAATCTTTTGATATACTTCTATCCTTAGAGACAAGCAACAGTTGCACCAATTATATGTTAAAATTAATTCTTTGTTGAACTACATAGCAAATATATAAAACCATATTTTGACACAAAATATTAAAGCCCTACTATATCCACCATGGACAAATATTGGCTGGTGCAGACTAACAGGGCACCTAAGATGAAGTTTCCAGGCCAGGAGGTTCTGAGTGACTGTGGTGTCCCCCTTGTTGTGCTCTGTTCTCTGGGAGAGTATGGGAATCCAGGGAACCTCCCCAGGGTAGAGGTTTGAAGCAGACCTGACCTCAGGTGGTTCTTTTGCTAAGAAGCTTGATGTCTTCTCAAAGCTTATCCTGGGGCTGGCACAGTAGGTTTGGAAAACCACACAGGATAAAATGGTTTCAGTTACTCCAGAAAAGTGAATCTTTCGGAAAAAGTTCTAAATAAGGAGTTCCTACTTACATCTTTAGCCTAGAACTTTCAGAATCATCTGAAATCCATAAACTTTTATATAAGAACTTCCCAGAATGAACCCAAAGACATCCAGATTAGAAACTGTCCACTTAAAAACAAAAACTGAGATCTTAAGTAGTATTTCTCAAAACTCTTGACTTTAACTGTGAAGTCAGTTGCTTTTCTTTTTTCTCCCATTTCTTTCCAAATCATATGGTACTCTAAGAGAACTCTGCTGCTGTGCTATTTCCTTGACTATATTTTCTCTGAGCTTACTTTGGGTTTTCACATGTGATTGCACTTAATTTTGGGGGGAAGGAGATGAAAAGTTGGTAGAAATCCTGGCTAAAACTACAATTGTTGAGCTGCATCTTTTTCTCCTGTGCTTTCCTTGTGGGTGTGATATTATCTGGAATATTTAAAGATGCACTCCTCATCCCTGCCCCTCTCCTGGTGACTGCTCTTGTATCCCAGCAGTCTCCTCCTTTCTCATCCCAGGTAGTCAGACATGAATTACAGAAGGATTTGGGGGAAGAAGGGGTCACTTTAGAGCATGAAACATGTACCATCCATGTATGGCACAGGAAAGGGAATATGACAGGGGATGTGAGCTTATAAAAGCACTTTTTTTTGTTCAATCTATACAGCAAGGAGGAGGGCATGCAGAGGCAGCAAGAGACCAGAGAGAGTGTGGGGCCACTTACTCCATTCCAGTCCCCTTCTGCTCTTCTCTTATCACCTCCAGCTATGCCAGGGCCTAGGGGTAGAAAGTCAGTGATGGATTTCCCTTTGAGGTTTATAAAACTCTGAGCATAAGGAGGATCTGCACTGCACTTCCCAGATACAGCCAAGGGAGAAAAGCTTTGGAGAGAATTTAGCAGTGCCATGTATTGGTGGGAGTGGGGAGAGCAAGCCATATCTAACATGAGAGAGGGCTGGAGAAAGTCTCTTGGGATTTCCAAGCCCCAAATTTGCTTGGGAGGGCATCACATATTCTTGTGAGTTTCAAGTGAGAGTGAGTTCCTGGGAAAGAGCCAACGGGTCTACACAAAGTCTCCTGGCTGGGGCTGCAAGCATAGCATTAGAAAGATGGCCTTTGTGGTTCGGTCCTATTGGGGAGGACTCAACTAGAATCTCAAAAGATTGCTCTGCCAGGGAGCCGATGATAACCCAAATCATCCACTTGTTACTTGGGACTTGAAGTACTGTCTGAGGGCAACCAGTAACGACATCACCTGGGAGTTTGTTAGAAATGTGGAATCTCCATAGCAGACCTACTGAATTAAAATCTGCATATTAACAAGTCCCCCAGGTGATTAAGATGCACATTAAAGTTTGAGAAACCTTATGCTATGTTGTCTGGGCCACCATTCACCAGCACCGGACCCAGGCCTTGTGGAGACCCATGATTGTTGAGATAATATTCTCTTCCTAGCTGTCACAAAGCAGCGATCATTCTTCTCTGTACCAACCCTAGAAATTAGGATAAGCAGCAGGGAGATGGGAGAGGGAGGGGAAAAAAAAGTCCCAAGAAAGAATTTCAAATCTGAATGTGGTTGAAATACAAATGTGAAATAACTAAGAAATCACTGAATTGGACTAAGTCTATGTGCAAAGGACTAAATAAGTTTTCTACATCAGGCAGAATGGGGACTTAGAGTCAAGAAATTAAATAGAATTATAAAAATCGTTTTCTTACTTACCTGAGCTTTTGACTGGGAAATTTGTAACCCCTAAATTCCTATCCTTTCCAATTGTTGCTGTCATCATCAGACTAGAGAAAGATTAGCTTGTGTTTCCTCCCCCCTCCATTTCGTGCTAGGGCACAGAGGCGCGATTTCAGCATTTCCCAGGGGACAGATGGACTCCTGGAGAGAGGAGGCAGAAAGCACAAGCTGCCGCTAGTCTATTCTGCTAAGGAATATCTCAGAGCCAAGGCCGTAGACGTGTTAATGGGCGAGAGGAGGCTTTTGGGAAAATGTTGTCCGATGCTATGAGGATAATGCAGCAGGAGAGGAAAATATGTGGGAACCAACGAAAGGAGCTGAGGGCGATTAGAGATGTCAGCCTTCCCTTGGGGCCACATGTCCTTTCTGATAAGGATATAGCTGCTGTGACTGGAGGTGCCTGTCTCTATAGGATGGAACATTCATTCTGTTCATTCTGGGTGCACCAAGGTATAGCCTTATATGTAGTATTATTTCCATCTCTTTTCATCCCTCCATCCAAATTCAAAACACAGTAAGCTTTGGAAAGAAATGGAATTAGTTTGAATAGCATTTTGGAAAATACATGAATTAAACAATGAGCTTAGGTTTTGTTTTGCCTTTAGATGTATGGTAAGTAATTAGCCAAAGAAATGCAGAACGTTGGTATCTTGAAAAATGCCAAAAAAGAAAATAGTTGAAGTATTTTGTGTGTTTTATTATTAGAGCCAAGAAGAAATGGGAGCAAGTAAATCTGGAGGTTGAGAGAAGAGAAAAATGAGAAAAGAGAAAATTCTGTGCCAGATATCATCTGATTTACAATCAAAAATGAAAATTCAAAGAATGAGATATTCAAGTACTCCATACTATATACTGGGTAGCCAAAGATGATAAAATGCAAATTCTGAAAATAAGATGCAGGAAGTACATTGTGCTCTTTCAAAACTGATAAAAATGCAAATTACAAACAGCTGCCTGTGTATTTATATAGGTCTGGAATTCATTCGATGCATTGCCACAAACATTTAATAAAATTTAAAAGTTTGACAATTTAAAATCATTCTTTAATTGTAAGCTAAGTTAGACTGCACAGATTGAGAAATGAAATTGTGTCTTTGATCTCTGTTTTGCAATATTCTTTAGAGAAGAAACCTCACATTTTCTTTCTTTACCTAGATTTTAAGCTGGGCCCTCAGTGATAATAACAGATAAAGTGCAAACAAATTCAATGAAGTCTCAGGGTTACAGTTTGGTGATGAGTATGTTAGAGGAATTCCAATAGAAATACACTTTGATGTGTTGTAAAAAGACAAAAAATATTGGTTTATTATGCAGGGGAGTGCTGAACAATGTCTTTTAATTGGCAACTACAAAATCTGTCTGCTGAGATATGTGAGATTTAAAGCTGAAAAATAAACATTTTCTTACCAAGAACAGAAAAATTATATGATCATATTAAAGAAAAGGATTTGTAAAAGGAAAAAAAAAGTGAGTTAACAATGTGATGTCTCAAAAGTATTGGGAGATTTTAAGGCTTTAAGTAACTCTAGAAGTATAAATGCTTATAATTGAGAGACATCATTTGAAATCTTATTTCCATTTTCTTTTGCATTTGTTTAGAATAATAAATTTTTAATTAATTTAAAAAAATTTCATCTGCAGAGTGACTGAAACAAGAACTTAAAATTGAGAATTTATTCTTCAAAGACCAGTATGACAGCAATATATGTGATTAACCTTTCAAATGCTGTTTATGTAAGCTTGTAGCATTTATACTTCTGAGTTTATTAAAGCTCAGAATTTCACTAAGACTTTGTGGCACCTTGTCTTTATATTTACACACATCTTGTGGTTATTAGTCACCTCTTGTTCAATATTTATGGAGGGGTTCATCAGAGTGTAAGTTTAGAAATATTTTATTTTTAAAACATTTTATAGATGTGATTCCAGCTTGTGGAGTAGCAAGTCCTAGTTTCTAGCTTCTAATGGTGCTCTGTCTACCCACTTTCAAGAACATGGGGATATAGTCATTTTTTTTTTTTTTTCACAAATAGAGTGGTGAGAAATGAAAACTGTGCCAGCAAAATATCTTGGTGAGATAGATTTGAGCAGGATGTTAGAAAAGAGCTGAGTCAAAAAGCTGTCTAAATGGAGGCTGATAGGAAACATCCATAATTGCACTTAACAGATCTGTGTCCTTCCAAAAAGTTCATCTAGTGGTAAAGAAGGAATGGTTCTAAGAAGGCAATTCAAGATATTTTTCTCAAAGTACAGATTCTCAATGTGTATCTTTATTGCATGCAAACTGCTGAAGACTCAATGTGGAATGAGAAAAATCTGAAAGAAGATTTGAATGTCATTCTCCTGTATGTGTACATATATTATTCCTGAACAAATGGACATTTTCATTATGATAAAATTTGTCTAAGAGGACCAAGTGGATGGTAGCATTAACCAACTCTGTTTTTATGAGTTGGTTATGTTTTATTTGTGAGGTAGGGAAAAGTCATGGCTTAAATGCAGTCAACTAGTAACCCAGAAAGAAGAAGATAACGAGCCCCCAAATAAGAAAGGATAGAGGATGACAAAGAAAAGTGGACAATCAAAAATGTAATAAGCCAGCAAGAAGTTATGCCTGCTGACTCCTGAACATAAGAGTAAGGCATTTAAGCCTAAGTTTATGATGCCGGAAGGAGGCAGTTGCTTTTCTGTCACTTCCAAAAGCTTTCAATGAATTTGTTGGGTGTACTATGATTCTACTCTTTTCAAAATGCAGCAGTAATAAAAATGTTAACAAAAACAGCACATATTCAATGCTTAGTATATTAATTTGCTAGGGCTGTCATAACAAAACATAACACAACAAAACACCATAAACTGGGTGGCTCAAACAACAGAAATTTATTGTCTCATAGTTCTGGGGGCTGTAAGTCTGAAATCAAGATGTTGGCAGCATTGGTTCCTTCTGAGGACTGTGAGGGAGAATCTGTTCTCAGCCTATCTCTTTGGCTTTGTAGATTTGACTTCTCATGTCTCTCCACATTATCTTCCCTCTGTGTGTGTGTGTGTGTGTGTGTTCAAATTTCCTCCTTTACAAAGACATGAGTCAGATTAGGAACCACCCTAATGACCTCATGTTAACTTGATTACCTCTATAAGGATCCACTTTCCATATAAGGTCAACTTCTGAGGTACTTCAGCATATGGATTGGCAGGGGGAGGGAGGCTGTAAAGATGTCTCTGGACTTCCCCGGGTGGAGAGGTAGGTCTTAAATAACAAATCCACTCTAACATTTCCATCTCCTAAGCCTTTGAATTACTTCCTTACAGGAAACCAAGGCAGATTCTAGCTCACTCACTCTGGGCCACCTTTTAGTCCATATTTAAGCCATCCAACCAAGCAACCAAGCAACCAACCAAATTGTTGGAGCCCTTTATAATTCCCTGAGCTGTGACATTAAAAGTAGAACCTCTGCTTAGTGGGCCCATATCAATAAATTCATTGTGATCTAACTTTATGCGTCTTTGACTATTATTCCACATCTTCAATATCCATTCCCACACATAGTCCCAGGGTTTTTGTTTGTTTAAATTAGTAAACTCAAGTAGCTCTTTTGGAGAGCAGTGTACTTCCTCATGGGTCATACTTCATACCTCACCTTTAGTAGCCTGCTGGGACTTGAGTCTAGTTAGAGCAGTGGTGGGGGTCAGTCCTGAGGGAAATCAGCATTGTCTTGCATGGCAACTGCCTCAGTTAATCTCAGATGAGGGTGGTGGGGCTATTTCTAGTGGGAGTGGAGAGGTTAATTCTACTGGCAAAGACTCATCAGAATGTTGGGGCTCAAATGTCCCCAGCTTCATGAGGGTCTTCCCACATCTCTCCATTCCAACTTTCAGGATGATGCTCCTCCCCAATCAATGCCCTCTCTTTAACAGCAAATAACCTGTGAGTCTGGGATTTTCAATTTGTGTTGCAATTCAGTGGCTCACAAGATGAGATTAGGTGTTTGTTTTTCAGAAATCTCAGCCCTGTGCCTATGAAAGATATGGATCTCTTTGCAGGGCAGCTTTCAGATCATTTATGTGATGTGTGAGCTAGGAATTCAAGATCCTTGCCTCTCAAGTGTTTGTGAGTATACAGTGGTGATATTTTGTGTATTTCTAGTGCCATATCACACCATGAATGATCAGTGCTCTCTTTACTACTAAAAATAGAGTCATTAGAGTCTTTAAATCTAATCAGATTAGACAGCAAATTCCAGAAATCCCAGAACCAATTCAGAAAACTCATCTTTAAGATTCTGTTCCTATAGAGCCACTTAGTATGAAAATCTGTATTAGGATTCTCCAAAGAAACAACAGAGGATATATATATAATTTTTAATATATTCATATTTTGTATAAATATATATTTATATATAGATTTATTTTAAAGATTTGAGTTGAGGCTTGACAAATCTCAAATCTGATGGAGGAGGCCAGCAAGCTAGAGACTCACTGGAGTCTGAAGGCAATCTGATGGAAAATTCCTTTTCACTTGAGAAGGTCAGCCTTTTATGCTATTTAGGATGAGGCCCATCCATATTATGGAGAGCAATTTGTTTTACTTAAAGTCCACCAATTTAAGTGTAAATCCCAACTAAAAATATCCTTACAGAAACATCTAGAATAATGTATGACTAAATACTGGGGCAATGTGGCCTAGCAAATGTGACAAATTAATTAATTAATCTCCCTGGATAACCTCAGATAGTCTCACTATTTTAGGGTCAGGTGAGTAGCAACCTTAATTCCCCTTTGCCATATACTCTAACGTATTCACAGATTCCAGGGCTCAGGGTGTGGGCTTCTTGGGGAATCACTTTTCTGCCTACCACAACTACCTTTCCTTATGCGCAATAAAACTAATAGTTGTTACTACGTAGCAGGCACTATACTACATGAAATAACTCTGAAACATTTGTACCCCAACCCACAAAAAATAAACAGAGGAGCTATTATGAGAAACTCAGGCACTGAGTAGTCATATAATTTGTAAGTGACAACGGCAGGATGGGACCATCTGTGCCCTGTGACTCTAGCCCATTCTCTTCACTCCACTAGACTGGTTAAATATCTGATTATATTTCTTTTCCTCAGGGCCCAGCTTACTACAAAGCCACACTGGACCACTCTGGGCCAGTGATGACAACTTCAGAGTCATGACAGTAAAGCTCATAGTCAAGGTTTCTTCCCCATTACTGTTTTTTTGCCCTTAAGAGTGGTATAGCTATGTTGTTCATATCCATGTCTTTTCCTCATAAAATAAGGAAAAAGCAAATATCAAACTATGTATACTGTATTACATTTGAGTTTTCTGATAACCAAGGCAAGAAAGAAAACACAGTTACATCAGAAAATGATACTAGTGCCCCCAGGACAATATTTTTTTTTTTATAGTACTACATTCTAAATGCAATTTATTTTGTGTAAACATAACTGTAATTGTGTTAGTCCATTTGGGCTGCTATGACAAAATACCATAGACTAGGTGGTATTAAACAACAAACATTTATTTATCATAATTCTGAAGGCTGAGAAGTCCAAGATCGAGGCACCTGCAGATTTGGTGTCTGGTGAGGGTCCACTTCCTGATTCATAGATGACTTCTTGCTATGTCTTCACGTGGTGGAAGGGAAGAGGGAGCTCTCTGAGGTCCCTGTTGCAAGATCACTAATCCCATTTATGAAGGCTCCACCCTCATAACCTACTC